TGGGGGGCGGTGCGTGTGTCCTCTAAGAGGGGGACCTCTGGGCAGGGGAGGGGAGGGCATGTGTCCTGTCACTCAGCAGTGCCTGGGGCACGTTGACTTGGATTCTCCTGTCTATAATCCAGGGTAGCGGCTCTGGGCCAGGTTCCCAGGCAGAGAAGGCCTGTGAGAGGAGGGGAAGGTCAGGCACTAGACCTCTCTGCTGGCCCAAGCTCTGGGACAGCCCTGAACAGAACTCCCCAGAAACTGTGATTTTCCTCCAACCTCCCTCCCTCCAACTCCCATGGCCTCCCCAGAGGGGCCGGTGCTGAAAGGGGCTGGCCCTGTGCTGGCTCCTCAGCCCCGAGGCCTGTTCCTCCTCCGCCATCTCTCCCCTCCCCCTCTCCTTGACACCAGCGGAGCCTCACCTGGGGCCCTCTCTCTGCCCTCAGCCACGTGAAAGGCCTGCACCTGAACATGGGTTTGGTGTTAAGCAACTTCTCCACCCTGACCCTTCTCCTGGGACGGCGTTTCGGGAGGTTTTTTGGCTACACCGAGAGGGACATGGAGCTGCTGTACCCCTTCAAGGAGAAGGTCTTCTACAGCCTGATGAGGGAGAGCGGCTACATGCACATCCAGTGTACCAAGCCCGACACCGTGGGTGAGCGTGCTCGGGGGGCCTTGCCCACCACCAGCTTCACTGGCGCGGGGGCGGGGAGGCACCCCCAGGGGAATCTCACCACCCCACCCCAATGCTGCCCACAGGAGGAAGCCTCTCGTAAGAACCTTCCAGCTCTTGAGATCTTCAAACAGCATTTTCCTATAGAATCAAGAGGATGGACCCTCATGAGATCCCTAGGCCAATTTAGCAACTCTGTTTAGCTGACTCAGTATTCATAGTGGCTTTCACCCCTGATCCCCCACCCCTGGGTCTACATCCCACACTGAGAAGCAGAGGGATGGAGAGCGTGGGTAGGAGGAAGCCTGGGGGTGGGCAGCTCTGCGGCTGCAGGGGAGAGGGGAGAGAGTACCCTGGAGCCTTGGGGAAGAAGTTCCCAGGCAGTGGCTGGGCATGGAGGCTCATGTCTGTAATCCCAGCACTTTGGAGGCCAAGGCCGCCCTGTACGGCCAGTGTCACACCTCACACCTGAAGCTCCAGCTCCCTGGTCCCCAGGCCTGAGTCTCCCTTCTTCTCCCCACACCAGGCTGTGCTCTGAATGACTCTCCTGTGGGCCTGGCCGCCTATATCCTAGAGAAGTTTTCCACCTGGACCAATACGGAATTCCGCTACCTGGAGGATGGAGGCCTGGAAAGGTGAGACCCTGGTCCCAGCAGCCACCCGCACCCTCCTCACCCTCTTCATCCCATGTTTGGTTGCTTTGCATGGGGCGCTCAGCAAATTGTTTTTATTGTTGGCTTTCTTACAAATCCTTACCCCGTGACTAAGGTAGCTGCATTTTTGAGGGAGGAGGCCTGCTGAGTTGCTCCCAGCCTCACAGTGGGTGATCAGGACTAGGTGCAGGCTCACCTGCTTGTGCTGCTTTTGCTGACCAGGCCCCTCTGGGGGTTAGGGAGCCCAGAGGGCAGCAGATACCACGTTATTGCCAAGAGCATCTGGGCTTTTCCTCCTGACTCCCTAGAGAGCCTGGCATCGGGGCCACATGACATGTTCCAGGAAGTGGTCACATCTCCCAGAGCCTTAGAGGCTATATCCTCCACATGCTTGACTCCATGTCAGCTGTGTGGCCTGACTCAGCCTTCACCAAGGTCAGCTCTGATCCACCCTTTCCAGGGCCCATCCCTTTATTCCTTCTGTGACACAGAGAGTGCTGGGCATGGGAAAGAGAGAGCAAAATGAGACTGAATCCCGCCTTGGGGGTAGGGATTCTGTCTTGACCATGCTCTAGCCCCATTACAATAGTACCAGGTGATAGTGGGTGCCCAGTAAATAGATGTTGAGTGAGCTTGGAAGATACATGCAAAGAACTGGGAGTCCAGTGGAAGGAGGATTCTCTTTGTCTAAGTGGCAGAGAGGGGAAATGACTGGGAGAATGTATCTGATTTGGGCCTTGGAGGATGAGTAGGAGTTTGCTGGATGGAGGAGGGAAATTTAGGCAAAGAGAAAAGCAATAAAAATGCAAGGAAAGGGTGCTTGGAAAGGGTGACTAGTTGAGAGGTTGAAGCAGGTACACTGGGGCCAGACCACAAGCAAACTCATTCCGGCAGGCAGGTCCTCGCCTCCTCCAAGAGGCTCAGCAGGTCCTTTCTCTGGGATCTGTTTCCCCTACCCTACATTCGGCAGGACCCAGGAGTTGATGGAGTTCCTGCCAGTCCACCTTGGCAAGGGGTGTGTCCTGCTCCTTGCACACAGATACCTGGAGCCGGATGTGAGGCCTCACCAGACTGTCCCGCTGGGCCACTCCTGCACCTCTGGCTCCAGGTTACAGGGAGCACCAAAGCCCTGAGCAGAGGGGGACAGGATATGATCCATGTTCCAGAAAGAACAGGAATACACTAGGGTGGAAATGGCGGTCGTAGTAGTTTTCAATCTTTGGGCAGAGCTGAAAGGGAGATGGAAGCACTTGGCCGACTTGCAGAAAGCCAGGTCAGAGTTTACGTGTGTACTGTAAAGAGCTTTCATTGACCCGTTTTCATTTTGCCACCAAAATGGCGTTGAAAAGGCTGTTCCCTTAATCTCTGTCCCTGCCTGATGCTGCTGTTGCTAGAGACCAGGGTTTTAGAGAGGAAGGTGGGGTCGGGAGCGCCTGCTTTGGGAAGAGTGGAAGGTGGGCTGTGGAGGGTGCATCCTGGACCCAGGCTGCCTAGGTTTGGCTTCTCCACTTAATAAGTAAAATGGAAATAGTAGTACCTATGTCCCATAGGCTGCTCAGAGGAAAACATGAATTAAATGAAGGTAAGGAGCTTAGAAGATGCTCCCTGGTACGGGGTCACCCTATAGCTGGTGCCCGAGCAGCTTCACGGCGCAGGGTTGAGGGGAGGGTAGGAGAGGTCAGCGTCAGGAGAGAGGGGACGGCTGTGTAGAGGCGAGGCAGGGAGGGGAGGGCCTTGGGGTGACAAGAGACACTTCAACTAAATGCGTGCTCTCCAGTCTGATGCCAAGGGCGCAAGCCTGCCTGTGACAAGAGCATACCACACACCTTGCATGAGGTCTGAGGAGGGAAGCCGTGTGGGCAGGGCCTGGCATGTACAGGACACTCTGGCTGCCCTCTGTCACACAACTGCATCTGTCACTGAGAACGGGGCCTTATGTTCCCAGGAAGTTCTCCCTGGACGACCTGCTGACCAACGTCATGCTCTACTGGACAACAGGAACCATCGTCTCCTCCCAGCGCTTCTACAAGGAGAACCTGGGACAGGGCTGGATGACCCAGAAGCATGAGCGGTGAGGCTGGCCGAGCTGAGAGCAGGGGACTCTGAGGCTGGGGGCAGGGGGTGGCCCGTCTCGAACTCCAGGAAGGGCATTTGGTGGTGGGATAAGTATAACCCTGCCTGCAATGCCCCAGGGGCCCTTGGATGAGAACACTAAAGGTGGGGGTGTTTGGAGAAAACCTTCGTGGAGGGATCACATGCCTGGCTCCCGGGTGGTCCTTAGTGCCTCTCCCCAGTCCAGGATGCTGGTCTGGTGTGGCACTGAAGGTTCTGGGATTTCCGAGTCTCACATGGAGGCCCTCAAAGGTGGGGAGTTAGAGGCTGTCCCATGTCCTTGCCTGTGTGGCCCTCCCAGAAAAGAGAGGGCCCTTAATGAGGGGAGGGTGGTTGAGACCCTGAATCTGTCCTTTTCTCTATGACTCCTTGTGGGTGGCTGGTTGATCTCACCCCGCAGGCCCTTGAACTCCTTGCTGTGCAGGAAGTGGGGGGCGTTGGGGGAAGGCGCAGGGCCATAGCCTCAGCCCTCCATGGGATCCCTGTCGCTTCCAGGATGAAGGTCTACGTGCCCACTGGCTTCTCTGCCTTCCCTTCTGAGTTAATCCACACGCCTGAAAAGTGGATAAGGCTCAAGTACCCGAAGCTCATCTCCTATTCCTACATGACGCGTGGGGGCCACTTTGCGGCCTTTGAGGAGCCGGACCTGCTTGCCCAGGACATCCGAAAGTTCCTGTCGGTGCTGGAGCGGCAGTGACCTCCTCCCCACCCCTGGCCCCCAAGTACCCTCCAGGCTTTTCTTGGGGAAGATACCCCTTTTCTGAGGAATGAGTCTGCCTCCGCCCCTTGCCTGTGCTGGGAGCCCACGCTCGCTCCCTCACCCCTCCAAACTCACTCCTCAACCCCCCACCCCATGTAGTAAGCAACATGGCCTTCCTTGATGATAAATGACTTTATTTCTAACAGCAGCTGGAACGCAGTGACATAAGCGTACCCCGGACCCCACAAGGGGCCCTTTGTCCAAGCAGAGCTGGCAAGCCCCTCCTTGCTGGCCAAGTCACGGGAGGCCGGCTGGGGATGAGGCCGCTGGCCAGGGCTATGCTGCACCCGACCCATGGCAAGATGCCCCACCCCTTCCAGCACCAGGGTGGCGTGGAGCAGAGGCAGCACTAGCTGCACCATGGGGGCAAATCAGCGCCAAGAGGGTCCCCGAGTGAGAAGGCCCAGGCCCACAAGACCAGCAGACAGGTTCAGGCAGGGCCTGCAGAGGCACCAAAGCCCTGGTCCAGCTGGGCAGCAGGGAGGCTGAACCTGCTCTTCTGCACCCCCTCCCGCCCCCACCGCACAGGCTTGCGCCTTGGTGCCCCCTGGAGGCAGCAGGGAAGAAGCTTCTCAGGCAGGTCAGTTATATCCCATCCCCAGGGATCCCCAGGAGATAAGACAGGGACAGCCCCTCCTTCCTGCCAGAGCCGCAGCTCAAGGGCAGTGGGATGGCCTTGCACCCAGCCCAAACACCCCCTCCTGTGTGCCGACCATGCTGTCCTTTGGCTCCAAGGAGGCCCTGAGCACTGCCCCCGCCTTGGAGGGAGGGGGTGAGTGCTGCACAGAGCCTGCTGGAGATGCGGACTCACGCAGTCAGCCCCCAAGAGGTGGGAAAGGCTGGATCTTAACCGTGGTCTAATGGCCACTTTGAGTGGTCCTTGTCCCTGTTTGTGGGGTGACCCTGACCCGGCCAGAGTGTCTCTGACAACATGATACAAAAACACAGAACCCTAGCAGATTGCGGAGGTGTGTGCACAGCTGCAGGAGCACTGGCCGCCTCCCAGCCTGCTCCCCACAGCTCACTCCTACCCTTCCAAGTCCGAGGCACACAGGGCCTGGGTGCAGCCTGGAGGGGCTGCCGGGCTGTGGGGGGGTGCTGGCCGTGGAGTGGGGAGCTGGACACCCAGCCAGACTTCAGACTGGACTGCAGCATCTCTTTGGTTATCAGTTATGTATGTGCCTACAGGGGGGTGGGCAGTGTGTGTGCCCAGAAGGGAGGAGGCCTTCCCCTGGTTACATCCTCTCCATATATTCTCCTGGACTCATCAGTCTGGGGAGCAAAAGTCCACCACGTGGTTTTGGCGATAAACCACTGGGGATGTCCCCCCAGCTGCAGAGCTGGAAGCTTGTGCTAGGGGGTAACTGGGGTGAGCAAGGGAGGCCTCCCAATGGCTCAGCAGGGGAGTCCCAACACATTCCCACTCAGCCAAGGGCCTGAGCCCCAGGCCATTCTGGTTGCATCTTTTCAGAGCAGAGGGACCTAAAACAGACAGGAAGAAGTCATGAACTTGGGAGTCAGGCTGCTTCACCTGTCTCCTCACCCCACAGGCTCCCCTGAGCCTGGCCCAGCTGGCAGCTCACCCAGCCTCAGGCCTCCTGGGGGGTAGCAGCCACATTGTCCACGGGGCTCTGCCCCAGGAGAGTTCCGCTGATGTTGTGGATAGCACCATAGGTCTGCTGCTGCTGTGGGGACAGCGCCGTCCTCTCCGAGGCCAACCCGTTCAGAATCCGAGGCACGTAGGGCTGTCAGCAAATGGATTCGTGCTTGGGTTGGGGCAGGCATGAGATTCCACACTGGATCCCTCCCCTCCTGCCCTTCTCCCAACAGGAGGACACAGACAGTGGCCATAAAGGACATATGAAGAAACAGCAACATCAATTTAGGACATTAGGACCCAAAATATGCCACCTGCAGAATTTCCTAGCAGCCAGGGCAAAAGAGAAAGCACAATTACACAGTTCTCATGATCACAGAAGGAAGCACAGGAGGGCAGTTTCTCAGAAGAAACAAAACTTCCTAGCCCTGGATTTTAGGAGGATTTCTCACTTTATAGAACAGGTTACCTATACAGGTGGGCTTCGAGCGCTGCCCTGGGACCCCCAAGATGCTCAACGAATCTGTGTGAGTTTCATATCCTCCCAATCCCAGGCTCCAGCCACTGACCCAGGGCACAGAGCCCTGCTCCACTCCTCCCGAGACCCTGGCTGAGGGCTTGACATTATCCACCTGTCCTGCATGTTCCCTGCCTGGCCAGCACAGCCACAGGTGTCTCTGGGTAACGAGTCTTTTTGAGGCCCTCCCTCTTTTGGGGCTTGTCCAAGGACAGACACCGATAAGAGAGCCTGACACCTGGAGGCAGCCACCAGAAAGAACCCTGCAGATGAGGTTGGCTCTGTCCTGACCCCAGCTGTCAGGAAGGCCAGTGGTCACAGCTCTGGAACCCTGGGGCTCTGCTTTCCCTTCCCAGCCCCAGCCTAGGAGCAGGACCCTGGAGGCTACATGCAGGGAGAACCAGGAAGGGAAGAAGCCCTGTGTCTTTCTTCCATTGGGGTCTTCCTCTGAAGCAGGCGCAGTGTTCATTTCTTGAATTCAGAGGAAGTCTGTGACACCCTCTTGGAGCCTAGTGGAGGAACTCGCACAGGCAGGTTCAGCACTGATGATAAAGCTTCATCAAACGCTAGCACCTTACAATGTGCCTTCACTGACGCCCCAACTCACCAGGCATTAAATATGCAAAGGAAAGAGAGCAGGGAACTGAAACCAAGGGGGATGGGCACGAATCCAGACAAGACTCATTATCTCAACAGTTTCAAATATGCAGGTTAAAACACCCAGAGGGACTGGGATTCCTTCTCTGCCATTAATTCACAAATCTGCCTGCCATGTGATCTTGGCAAGAGATGATCAAAGTACATTTGCTGAGGCCCATCTGGCTGGGACTGTTATAACCAGACCAAAAAAGGGCGACAAGCTCATGGGGTTAAGGGCTCAGGGGGGTGAAAGGCACAGATGGCTTACTGTGAACGGTGGGGGCATGTGGGCCTCTGCTTCACTTCCTTTGTCGCTTGTGGGCTCTTCTGTCTGCAGATAACAGCAAAAATTTGCAATGATAAACAAAACTGATCCCTGTGAACGAACACCCTACAAACACACTGACTATTAACACCCAGAATAATAGTACCAGCTGGCGCCAAGCTCCCCAGCAGCCCGAGAGAGGATGGGGTGGGGGAGTGCAGGGATGAGGGGAGGAAGGGAAGCTACACATGGCACCCAACCACCCACGCCTTTCCCACGGAGAAGCAGAATCTGGAGAAGGCTGCTGCTGTGTTAAGGGTGGGAGGGGTTGAGAGTGAGCCCACCCCACCATCTCCTCCCAGGGCCTGGCCGGGCAGTGGGGACGGGGGCCTTTACTTTGTAGTTCAGAGGGCTGAGATGCTTGAAACATCCAAAGCAGGTGTGAGCCAGGCAGACCAGGATGGTGAGCAGCACCACCAGGAAGGTGAACAGAGTGGCGGGGGCCTTCAGACCTGGGGACAGAGGGTGGCTAGCCTTGGGGGTGGGTGGGGAGGGGCTGCCACCTACCTTCACCCGGCTGAGGAAGGGCCACACCTGGTGCCAAAACTGCCCGTGACTTCTCCCTCAGGCAGAAAATCAAGGCAAAGCCTGACTCCCCCAACCCCACCCCTCAACTCCTGCAGCAAGGATGGTGTCTTCACAGCCAGGAGCACACAGAGGGACCCACTGAATGGCTGGCATCATCCCTGGTCAGATTTCAAGTACTGGGACGCCAAGTCAATGGCAGTTCGCCAGTCTTTTTCTTGGGTCCATTCCCTCCAGTCTCCCGTGCCCTGGGCTAGGTAGGATGGACACTCCCATACCCCAGTCTGACCAGGGCAGACATGTCTTTTCCCAGGAGTGTCAGTTTTCCCTCCTCCATGTCCCTACCTCTTCCATGCCAGGAAGTACAGGGAGCTGGGCCCATCCACCACCCACAAAGGGCAATGTGGATCAGCTTCCCCATCTCCTCTGGTTCAGTCCCTGCACAGCTGATAAAGGCAGTCTTCTCTCTAGGGATGCATGGGACAATCGACCAGGCCTTCACAAGGGTTACACCTGCTCTTGGGCTAGCTTAGGAGCTAGGCTGTCAACACCACACCCAACCAGCCCTGACCCTGAGTATCATGTTTTGATTGGACACCTAACCAGTCCTTACTCTGGGCACCATGTTCTGATTGGACACCTAACCATCCCTCACTTGGGGCACCATATTCTGATTGGACAACTACCAACCCTCACTCTGGGCACCACGTTCTGATTGGACACCTAACCATCCCTCACTTGGGGCACCATGTTCTGATGGGACAACTACCAACCCTCACTCTGGGCACCACGTTCTGATTGGACACCTAACCATCCCTCACTTGGGGCACCATGTTCTGATTGGACAACTACCAACCCTCACTCTGGGCACCATGTTTCTGATTGGACGCCTAACTAGCCCTTATTCTGGGCACCACATTCTGACTAGATGCCAAGCTGATGCTATGAAAACTGACTGGCTGGTGTGGATGCAAGGATGGGAGGCCAAAGGCTGGCCCCAGGTTGGAAGGGCTGCTCACCCAGGCGCAGGAAGGAAAAGAAGTAGAGCCAGAAGAGGCACAGGATGGGGGCCGCCAAGGCCTGGTTCACAGCAGCAAAGTGGATCTCCTTCTCCAGCTTGGCCGGGAGGTAGATGAAGTAGAGGTTATGCCGGTCCACCATGTGCTTGAGCAGGATGTAGATGAGGCCTGCAGGGCATGGGGCTGTGAGCTGGAAACTTCGCAGGGCCACAGGGGCGCCTCTGCCCCCTTCCTCTTAGGGGTGGCTATTTTGCCAAGGAGCTAGGGCTGGGGCTGCTGCTCTACTGCTTGAACACAAAATGAGGCACCCTGCACCTCTGGCTGCTAGTTTTTTCTCCTGCCTGCTTCCTCACTTCTCTGTGACCCCAAGGGCGTTGCAGTGTCTATAACCCTGTCACCAAGGAACACTAAAATTCCAGGATCGTCTTGGAAAGAGGCTGTTTCATACTCAGATGCCTGGCCTCAATTCCTCCCAGCCCTTCCCATGCTGAGCCCCCAAGTATGTCAGTGCTCCCACACCCCTGGCCTTCTCCCACTCGGCTGACCCCCGTCCTCATCAGTCAACAGAGAATGAGGCCCAAGGGTCTTACCCCAGTGGTGGCACAGGAGCACACAGCGGGAACCACCAGAAGGTGGGTGCTGCCTTTTCTATTATGCCAGCTTTTTGTTGTTTGTTTTTGAGACGGAGTTTTGTTTTTGTTGCCCAGGCTGGAGTACAGTGGTGCAATCTTAGCTCACTGCACCCTCCACCTCCTGGATTCAAGCGATTCTCCTACCTCGGCCTCCCAAGTAGCTGGGATTACAGGCATCCATCACCAGGCCTGGCTAATTTTTTGTATTTTTAGTAGAAAGAGGGTTTCACCATGTTGGCCAGGCTGGTCTCGAACTCCTGACCTCAAGTGATCCACTGCCTCGCCCTCCCAAAGTGCTGGGATTACAGGGGTGAGCTACTGCGCCCAGGCCCAGGTTCTTTTTGGAAAAATAAATTTTGTTTTGAAAGTGTTAATACTGTAGATTTTTAAAACTACACAAGAGCGTATACAGAGAAAACTAAAACAACTTCTCCCCCTCATCCTCAGCTATTACTGCCAACAGTCTCTTGGGTTTTCTGTTTTCTTCTAGAGTCTTTCATTCATCTGCCAGTTCCAGATGTTTTATTTCAGTGGCCAGGACCTTGGCCTTTAAAGTCAAATAGTCCTGAGTTCAAATTCTGGTTCTCCTGCTTACTAACAACATATGAAGTTCTTCATCTGTGAAGGGGGAATAGAAACAAGACCTGCCTTGTAGGATGAGGTGAGAATTAAATGTGGTAACCCACGTGGAGGCAACCATCTGCCAGAGTGAAAGCAGCAAAAGAGCTGTGATTGTGACTATGGCACTGTCTTACTTGCTGCTAAAGAAATCAACCATGAACGACGTGGTCAGCGGGCAGAGAACCTCAGACCAGAAGTACTGAGAGAGGTCCTAGCTGGGGCCAGTGGGAGGAATTCATTTAAAAATTAATGAGGCTGGGCGCTGTGGCTCATGCTTGTAATCCCAGCACTTTGGGAGGCTGAGGCAAGCGGATCACCTGAGGTCAGGAGTTCGAGACCAGCCAGGCCAACATGGTGAAACTCTGTCTCTACTAAAAATACAAAAAATTAGCCAGGCATGGTGGTGGGCACCTGTAATCCCAGCTACTCAGGAGGCTGAGGTGGGAGGTTGGCTTGAGCCTGGGAGGTGGGGGGTGCAGTGAGCCAAGATCATGCCACTGTACTCCAGCCTGGGTGTCAGCATGAGGCCCTGTCTCAAAACAAAAAAAGAAAGAAAGAAATGAATGAAATTTGGTGTTACTGGGTCTTGGGCAGCTTGTGGTTCTTGTGACTATGGTTTTGGGAACATCATAACGTCCTGGTGATAGCTGTCTCTGAGAGGCTTGGTGCAATCAGCCGTCCACGTACCCTGGGACAGGGTCCAGGGCCACTCACCAAATGGCGCAATGATGGGACAGGTGATGCTGTAGGCCATGATGACAGTGAAGACACACAGCATCCATGCATACATGGCTCCAAACTCATACTGGAAGGCCTGGTTCTGGGAGGAGGAGGTGGTGAGGAGCTCGTGGGCTTGTTCCACCTCAAACACCCTTTTGTGCTCTCCAAGTGGTGAGGGGAGAGCAGGGTAGAGGAGGACTTTGGAAATAGATGCGTGGCTCCCGAGGTCCTTCCTATCCCTCCCAGCCACCCCACTTCACTCAGCGCACCCAGCCTTCCTGAGGCACAGTGATGCGTGTCTCCTAGTGTTCCCTTTGTTCCAATCCTGTCCACCCAACAGGCATTTGCGCCCCTGAAGCAAAGAGGTGGTCAGAGGATGAGCTGTAAGTGACTCCTTGCGATTCCAGCCCTTCTAGGATGGGATCTGGGGCCAGCTTAGTTCATGCCTCTTTGAGATAGGGATACTAGCAGTGCGCAGCTCATAAGGGGACTGAGGATGAAATGAAGGAATCCAACACTTCTCCCACTTTCCTCACACAGTGCCCACCGTGGCAGAGAAGAATAAAAGGGAATCCCACACCCTCCAATTTAGGGAATCCTGGAATAAATGCCACAAGCCAAAAGTGCCTTTGACATCTGGGGTACGACTAAGAATTTACGAAAATGGGTGTGCATGGAAAAGGAGTATGTTGGTTTGAGCTGTTTGTATGTGTGCAATCAAACTGTTTCAAATGCCAGAGCCCCAAGCTCTCTCCTCCATCCTGTGAGCTAGAGCAGAGGCTGGAGGAGGCTGCACCTGCGTGGGCCTGGGTTTGAGAAGCACTTAGCCCAGTGCCCGCCCTAGTGGGTGGCTGGGTAAATGCTATGCACTAGTGGGGGTAGTGGGGAAGAGAGGACCTCAGGTCAGGGAAGGGGGACGGGGAGGGAGTCAGAGACACAGCCCTGGGCCCAGGGGAAGGCACCTGCTTGACATTCCTGCGGTCGGCAGCCGTCTTGGCCACGATCATGCGGAAGGTGTAGAGGATGAGGCCCGGCAGCCGCAGCAGCTCCATGCCATTGCCGATGAAGGCTGAGGCGATGACATAGTTCACAAAGAAGGCGCCCTGGTCCGGCAGGAAGACGCACCTGGGGAAACCGGGGCCTAGGTCTGTGAGCTGAGAGCCGCTCTTGGAGGGAGAGTAGGGGCCCCTAGGCTGGGCAGGAGCAGAAAGCCCCTGGGAGGGCTGTAGACTCTTCCCTTCACTCAGCACATATTTGGGAACACATCTGTGTGCCAAGCACCCTTCTAGGCATTGAGAACAGAACAGTGCCCCAGCCCCCACCCACTCCCTTGAAGTTCACATTCTAGCTGGGGGCACAAACAAGCAAACAAACACATATTCCATATGCCGGCGTGGCGAGCGCTACAGAGGAAATAAAGCAGGGAGGGTTTCCACATTACACAGGGGTCGGAGGAGCATTTCTTACTAGGTGGTATTTGTGCAGAGATGTGAAGGAAGTAAGAAAACAAGTCATCCCAAAACCTGGGAAGACAAGATTCCAGGAAAAGGGAATAACATATAAGTCGATATAAGTCACCTGAAGAGGCTCAGTGGCACATCCAGGAAGAACAAAGGGGCAGGTGGGGCAGGACAGCAGCGGGCTGGGGGCGGCAGGAGACAAGCCTGAAAGGGGCTGGGGCCCGGCTCAGGGCAAGGGATCTGTTCCGATGGGGTCAGGGAGATGACACAGATGGTGGCTGTGTCATCCCCATGCGGGATGAGGGTGGTTGTGATGGAGGTGGTGAGATTCTGGATCTACTTAAAAGAGAGAGCGGTCAGGATTTGCTGATAGGCTGGGTGTGGCATGGGAGGGAGAGAAAGAAAACAAGGTGAACCTCAAGGTTTTTGCCAAAACAATTGGAAAAACATCATGGAATGGGAAAGTTGCAGAGCAGCAGATTTGGGGTTTTGTAAAAGTCAAGAGTCTGGTTTTGGCTGGTAACATCTGTGGGACCCAGGGAAACTCCAAGTGGAGTTTCAGGTGGGAAGCTGGGTTATCAGCTTGGAGGAGCAGGCTAGAGACATAAATGTGGATGTTGTCCATATCAGTTAATTCAGGAGCAGTCTCATGGCACGGAAGCCGTGGGTTTAGCTGAGGTCACCTAGAGAGGCAGTGTGGACCCAGAACTGGGGGCTAAGCCTTGAGGCAGCCAAAATCTAGAGTTGGGGAGATGGGAAAGCACCCACCAAGGAGGCTGAGAAGAAGATGCCACGGGATGAGAGAGCCAAGGCAGAGCTTCGAGGAGGAAGGCTCGGAAAAATGTGTCAGATGTGGCTGACAGACCACAGAAGATGAGGACTGAAGTGGTCACTGGATTTGTCTATCTGAAAGTCACTGTAAACCTAGACAATCGCTGGCTGTATGTATGTGTGTCTATCACAGCCGCCAGCTCCCAACTCATCAGCTTACTCAGCAAGAACTCGTTTAAAACAACTCACCCCATCCTTACAGGTAAGCACATTCTTTTAGGAAAGTCATGCCAAGCTTTGGGCCTATATTAAGACCTAACGTACAGACTGTAGGGGCTTCGAATCCCAGCTCTGTTCCTTAACTGGCTGGGTAAACTTGGGCAAGTTATTCAACAGCTCCAAACCTCAGTCTCCTCATCTGTAAAATGGAGAGAATACTAGTATCTTTCTCATGGCTTGTTGTAAAGATTCAGTGAGAAAAAGATGCATAAAGCATTTGGCATACTCCCTTCTTAAACAATAGCTATTACCATTAAGTGGGCATGGTATAAGTTTAAAACACTAACAAGAATACATCAGCAATAAATTTAATTCTATTGTGGCAAAAATAATCCCCAGAGCCCAGAGGCATCCTGGTTGCCATGTGTAATTATTATTCTCCTTTCCCCACTCCCTGGCACCACTGAGACCCAGCAATTCCTTCTCCCCATGTGACTATGTGCTCAGTAAGTTTCAAAGAATGAATGAGACAGCTGCTAATTGAGTTCTGGCCTAAAAAATTAACCACATTTCTGCAAGTACAGCACAAAGTGGGTCAGCTCCCATGGTGTCTACCAGGAACCTGGCAGGGTGGTGGTGAGGCCCCGAGCGCTGCTGTCTGGGGGAGGCAGAGGCCTGTTCGGAAGCATAGACTACGACTGCCCCCTCCCGTCCCACTGCAGCCCCAGCCCCAGCCCCTGTGGGACTTTCACCCAGGGCCATGGCTCCAGAACTCAACTTGGCAATACTCACTCCAACCTGATGGAGGTCTCCGAGGAAGTCTTGTCAAAGAGCCACCGGAAGAAAAAATCTAGACTGAAAAACAAAGGAATCCCCTAAGAGTTTATTTCCAGCATTCCATGTTGTCACTACACAGGCTTTCACTTTCTTTTGCTCTAAAAACAGGCCAAAACTTGAGATTGACTTTTGTTCTCAATGACACCAGTTACTACGGCATGGCCTGTCACAGTCTGCTTTAACAGAAGCTTCCTTCCTTGAGATAAACAAAGCCATGATGAGACCCTTCCTAAGTGGAAGGTCCTTGATAAGCTTCATTTTCTTTTCTTTCTTTTTTTTATTTTGTAGAGATGGGGTTTTACCATATTGCCCAGGCTGGAACTCCTGGGCTCAAGCAATCTGCCCACCTCTGCCTCCCAAAATGCAAGGATTATAGGCATAAGCCACCGCGCCTAGCCACGAAATTTCCAAGCTTTTTCTTTTCCTTTTTT